GTAGTGCCAACAAAGACCTTCGTAGTTCGCGTTGCCAATGGAGAAAATCTCAAATGCCAAGGACGGTTTGAGGAGGTCCAAGTGGATCTACAGGGCACTATTTTTTCCTTAACTCTTTACTTTTTACCTCTCACAGGGTTAGACGTGGTGTTAGGAATTCAATGGCTCGAGTTGCTGGGCTCTGTAGTTTGCGACTGGAAGTAGTTGACCATGGAATTCTTGTGGGAAAATCAAACCAAGAAATTGATCGGCATTGATGGGCAAGACATCCGAGCAGCATCACTTAAGGAGCTAACCAAAGAAATGCGCCCAAGCCAAGCACTGTTTGCATTATGTTTCCAGGTCAGCCAAACGGAATCACTAGAGAAGCTTCATCCAAGCATGCAGGAGCTATTACAGGAATTCTCAGAATTATTCACAGAGCCCTCAACCTTATCACCAAGGTGGGAAATCAACCACGGCATTAACCTTAAGGAAGGAACCGAGCCAATTAATGTACGGCCTTACTAGTATGCGCATTATCAAAAGAACGAGATTGAGAAACAGGTCCAAGATATGCTGGAATCTGGACTGGTGCGACCTAGCGTTAGCCCCTTTTCCTCTCCAGTATTGCTATTAAAAAACAAGGACGGGAATTGGTGCTTTTGCACAGATTATCGCACGCTCAACACCGTAACCATTAAAGACCGATTCCTAATCCCCACCGTAGATGATATGCTGGATGAACTCTACGGCGCTTCCTATTTTACCAAGCTGGACCTCAGAGCGGGGTACCATCAAGTGCGGGTTAAACCAGGTGATATCCATAAAACTGCTTTTCGAACACATAATGGACATTACGAATACTTGGTTATGCCATTTGGTTTATGTAATGCACCCTCAACATTCCAAGCTATCATGAACTCCATCTTTCGACATCATCTTCGAAAATTCATAATAGTTTTTTTTGATGATATTTTGGTCTATAGTCCAGATTGGGATCAACATTTAATGCATGTGAGACAGACTTTTGAAATATTGAGGCAGCACAAATTTTTTATTAAGGCTAGTAAATGTGCATTTGGGTAGTAAGAATTGGAGTATTTGGGGCACATCATCATTAATCAAGGCTTGAAGGTGGATGAAAATAAAATTGCTGCTATACAAACTTGGCCTCAGCCTACTAACATATCAGAACTAAGTGGTTTTTTAGCCTTGACAGGTTATTACTGAAAGTTCGTCAAGAACTATGGCATTATAGCATGACCTCTCACCAATCTCCTAAAAAAAGGGCAATTCAGATGGCATGAAGAAGTTGAATCCGCCTTCCGTGCTCTAAAACAAGCCATGACAACCATCCCTACATTAGCCATGCCAAACTTCAATGCTGATTTCACTATTGAAACTGATGCATTCAGGGAAGGAATTAGAGCGGTCTTGTCTCAACAAGGCAAACTAGTGGCATATATGAGTCGAGCCCTCAGAGTGACAAAAAAATCATGGTCGAAGTACGCTAAGGAGATGCTGGCTATCGTCAAAGCCATACGTACCTAGCGGCCTTACCTTCTAGGCAAAAAGTTCTATATTTAGACTGATCAATGTAGCCTCAAATATTTTCTTGAACAACGCATAGCAACTCCGGAGCAACAAAAATAGGTTGCAAAGCTCTTGGGATACGATTATGAAATTCAATACAGGCCGAGCCGTGAGAACTCCGCAGTTAACGCTCTCTCTCGAAAACAGGGGAGTCCCATTCTTCACCATATTTTCTTTCCACAGGTTGGCATATGGGAAGAAATATAAAAGGCTGCCAAAGAAGACCAATACATCCAGTCAAAGGTTCGTAAGGCTACCAACCAACCTGGAGGGTCATACACATGGTGCCAAGGGCTGTTACTGCACAAAGGAAGGGTTGTTGTTCCGCATGATGTCACCTTAAGAGCCAAACTACTACACGAAATGCATAACACCAAGGTGAGGGGTCATTCGAGTGTTCTGCAGACAGTCAAAAAATTAAGACAGCAGTTTTATTGGCCTGGGATGCATAGATCAGTGTGCGACTACATTAAGGGATGCGAGGTATGCTAGAAAATAAAAGCAAAGACCTTAGCTCCGGCTGGGCTTCTTCAACTGCTACCAAGCCCATGCCAAGTATGGGACGACATCACCTTAGATTTCATTGAAGGCTTACCAGTTTCGCAGGGGCAGGACACTATCATGGTGGTTGTCGATAGACTTAGTAAGTTTGCACATTTTCTTACTTTAAATCATCCTTTTACTACAAGAATTGTAGCAGAGAAATTCGTGGAAGGCAACATCAAGTTGCACGGCATGCCTAAATCAATTATTAGTGATCGGGACCCAATCTTCATCAATAATTTCTAGAAAGAATTTTTCAAGCTGTCGGGCTCCAAACTATTCTGCATATCATCCGCAGATGGATGGCTAGACGAAAGTCATCAATCGCTGCGTTGAACAATATCTTCAGTGTTTTGTTCATCAGTGGCCACGTAAATGGAGCAGCTACTTACCTTAGGCAGAATATTGGTATAATACTACATACCATATTTCAACAGGGATGACCCCTTTTTAAGCATTGTATGGAAGATTGCCGCCTTCCATTCCGATCTATACAGAGGGACTACCACCAGTGCATGAAGTTGATCAGCAACTCATAAACCGAGATGAATTACTACGCAACTGAAGGCCAACTTGGTAAATTCAGTAAACAGAATGAAGTAGATGGCAGATAAGAAAAGGAGAGATGTTTCGTTCAATGTAGGCGAATGGGTACTTCTGAAACTGCACCCATACCGCCAGCAAACGATCTTTAAAAGGGTTCATCAGAAACTAGCTAGCCGTTTTTTTGGACCTTACCAGATTTTAGAGAAAATCAGGCTTGTCGCATATAAGTTACAATTACTGGAAGGGACACGCATTCACCCAGTGTTTCATGTGTCACTCCTCAAATGGTACCAGGACAACAACAGCAATGTGGAAACACCACAGGCCAAGTTACCACCATTTACTGATGCAGGGGTATTTGTCTTGGAGCCTCAACTAATTTAGATTACCGTTGGATCAAACAAGGCACTCAACTGGTCGAAGAAGGCTTGGTGCACTGGAAGCACCTTCCAACCAAAGAGTCAACGTGGGAACCCACAAAGAAGTTACAAGAACTGTTTCCAAATTTGGACCTTGAGGACAAGGATCCACTTGATGGGGGAGGTATTGTTAGGCCACGACGATCAGCAAGAGATAGGCGACCAAATCCCAAATACTTGGGATATGCTGGTCGTGACGAGTAGGAATGGGTCGGGTAGATAAGCTGGTCGTAACGAGCAGGAATGGGTCAAGGCAGATAAGCTGGTCGTGATGAGCAGGAATGGGTCAAGGCAGTTGCAAGATTTCATGCAAGTTTCAGTTGTAGGATTACGCACGAATTTACGTGCATGAGTTATGCTTTTATGCACCGACTTACGTGCATGAGTTATGCTTAACTTCTGGAGTGTTTTGTTTACATTATTTACGTGTCTATTTATGTGGATTGCAATTCAGTTAGTTTCCCTTTATTTTGGTTTATCTAATCATTTCATTCTCTGCATTTAGGACCTATTAAATGCATGCCTTATAGATTAATATATTTAACCAATACTATATACATGCCAATTCAAATGCCCTATTGATTAATGTTATCAAGCAATACTATATATAGAATATATATGCCAATTAAAATAACTAATAATAAACTACATCTTTAACTACTTGAATAAACATTATCGTCTTATTTACCAACCAAGAAATGATTAGGCTTAAACAAAGAATTAATTTGCCAATTATGACTAAGAGACATGCTGAAACCTTTCCATTTTTGTCTAAATTTTTTATTTTTTTTATTTTAACAAAATAATAAACTATATGCATCTCAAAAAATACTTTCCGCGCCCCCATTTTTTTTCCCTAATTCTAAAAAAAATTACATTACTGGAATACCCGTAAAATGCTTTTTAATCAATGAAGCATAGACTTCAACATTCCTCCACCCTCTCAACTGCCACAAAAGATTCAATTACAAGTACTCTTTGATATAAAACTTTTATTTTATTTTCTGCGCAATTAGGTTTCCAAAAATAAAAATAATAATAATAATTGTTGACATGCGAATATGAAATGAGAATATGTTATATAATTCTTATTCTTATTCTTATTGTATTTTAGATATTATTCTCTTTCTTTTAATCAACTGAATACAATTCTTTCACAACGACTCTGTAGATTTTAGTACGGAATTGAAAATAAAATGCAAAACAAAAAAGTTTTTGAGAGGGAAGAAGCTCGAGTTGAAGAGCTAAAGAAAAGAGTGAGTTTTATTGACTGAATAACTTACTTACAAAACAGAACAATTGTTCTTATATAGCAGCTACAAAGTCTACAAAACGCCACCGTTTTAATCATAACTTTTAAACTTTACAACACAGACCTTACTAATACTAACACTATTTGTAATCTTTACAAAAACAACCTACTCATTCACTCTTATACTCAATATTCTCCCTTAAACCAAAGTACTTAACAATAACAAAACACTTCATTTTACTACCATTCCCCCTTAAACCAAACATTCTTTAGCTATTTTCATTTTTCCAGATTTCCAGAATCCTCAACACTTTATTAAACTTCACTTCAGCTAACAAAGCTCCTAAAACTACTTCAGTTCTTAGTTACTTAGCAACTTGATTGCTACCTTCATCATAATGTCCAATTGCAAACCAACTTTACACACATTTATCAATATTCAGAAAATTGCCAATTACTCAATAGATTAACTACAAATCAACAATATGTAGTACTGAGCAGTAGACGAGGACTTGTTTTGCTCACCGCATTTATGCATCACAAACCAATTACTTAGCAAATCAACTACAAATCAACAATATGCAGTACTGAGCAATAGACCAAGACTTGTCTTACTCACAACTTTTATGCATCACAGACCTGCAAACAACTAAATGCAACAATGATCAGTAAATCATGCTTGCAATATCATCTGCAACAATAAACTGCTCATGCCAGGCATTATTAACACACTCAACACCCTCATCAGTGGGAAGTTTAGCTGTAACATTTAACTTCTCTTGTAACATAGCAAATCTAGAGCAAGGAATAGCCTTAGTTAAGACATCCGCAATCTGATATTCAAAAGCAATATACTGCACATGTAACAACTTTCTTGTAACCAATTCCTTAACAAAGTGCACATCAATCTCAATGTGCTTTGTTCTCGTATGGAACACATAATTGGAAAAGAGTTCTCCAGCACTCATGTTATCACACCAAATAATTGGAGTGTGACTGATATGAATGCCCAATTTTGTGGACAAATTTTGAATCCACACCAGCTTAGTGGCAGCTTGACTGAGTGATCTATACTTGGCTTTTGTGGGGGACAATGATACTACCTTTTGTTTTCTAGAAGACCATTAAACCAAATTACCTCCAAGGAACACATTGTAACCACTGGTAGATCTTCTATCTGTTTCATCTCCAGCCCAATCAGCGTTAGCAAAAGCTTCTAATGTAAAGGGTTGCTTCTTGGTAAAGAAAATACCATGTTGTAGAGTGACTTTAACATACCTTAGGACCCTTTCATAGGTTGTCTAGTGAACTTCAGTAGGTTGCTGTAAGAGTTGACTAAGCTTGTTCACAACAAAGGCTAAATCTGGTCTAGACAAGGTTAAGTACTACAGGCCACCAATGATGCTTCTATAGAGAGTAGGATGATCAAAAACTTTACTATCTTCTTTCCCAAGCTTGAGTCTAGTAGCCATAGGAGTAGAGCATGGTTTAGATTCTACCATTGCTGCGTTTAATAAAAGATCATAAGCATATTTGGTCTGAGTCAAGAGCAAACCGGTAGTATTTCGTTTAACTTCAAATCCTAGAAAGTATTTCACTGCCCCAAGAGCTTTAAGAGCAAATTTACTATCCAAATCAGCAACCAAAGTAGAAATGAGCTTAGCATTATTTCCTATCACAAGGATATCATCTACATAAACTAATAGATACATTAGTGTAGATTCTTTTCTATAGAAAAACAAACTCACATATGAAACTGAATTCTCAAAGCCCCAATCAATCAATGCAGATTTGAGTCCATACAAAGCTTTATTTAACCGACAAACCTAATGAGGATTTTTCTTATTTCCTGCAAAACTAGAGTAGCCTTCGGGGGCTAACATAAACACTTTCTCTATCAAGTCTCCATTCAGGAAAGCATTATTGACATATAACTACTTAATGGTCTAGTTTTGATGCACTGCCAAGGACAACATAACTCTGATTGTTGCTGCTTTGACTACTGGTAAGAAATTATCAAAGTAATCCACACCAGGAGTCTGTTGGAAGCCCTTGGCAACCAACCTAGCTTTGTACTTCTGAAGAGTACCATCTAAGTTCAATTTGGTTTTTAAAACCCATTTGCAACCTACCATATTCACTCCTTCTTCATAGGGAATAAGTTCCCATGTATTATTCTACAATAAAGCTTGATATTTATAGTCCATATCTTGCTTCCACTAAGGACTAAGTAAGGCTTCTATGACAAATTTAGGTTTTGGAAGAATGACACTGTTAGTCACTGTAGCTTGATAGGCAGTAAAATCAAGGTTTGTCCTAGAACTACCAGTCTTGGACCTAATGAGCATGGGATGAGTATTCAATGCTAAATTAGAAGTACAAGGTAGTACAACTTCTAATTAAATACCAGGGAAAGTTCTCTATGAAGATGTTGATTGATTATGTGTATCAGATAGAGATGACAGACTATAATCAGATTGTCTTATCTTGAGGACTCGAAAGAATCTAACACAGTTGGTGAAACAACATTTGTAGGCAAAACACCATGTGAGACATCATGTCTTGAAGATTCTAAATCAAAACCAGAAGCAGTTGGTAATGTCTTTTGGGAATCAATAGGTCGTGGATGTTCTAGAACATAATCATAAGGAGTTGTTAATGTTGAGAAGGTAGGGGCTAGTTGTGGTAAAGTCCAAGGGGTAGCAGATGTATTCATAGAAAGATCATTTTGTGAGGTAAAGTCAGTAGATGTAGGGAAGGTAAAACTAGTTTTAAAGGGAAATTCTACCTTATTGAACCTGACTTGCCTAACAATTTAAATTCTACCTGTAGAAGCAAGACAGATGTACCCCTTATGGGAAAGACTATAGCCAAGGAAAGCACACTTTTCAGTGTGATAAGCAAGTTTATGTTTGTTGTAAGGTCTTAAGTAAGGGTAACAACTACATCCAAAGACTTTCAACTCCGAGTAATCAAGTTCTTGATGAAACAATGTGAAGTAGGGTGATGCAAATCAAGAATTGAAGTAGGTAGTCTATTGAGGAAATAAGTTGATGTACTGAAGGTTGCCCCACCAATGTTTTAAAGGCATATTAACATGAGCCAAGAGGGGTAATCCAAACTCTGTAATGGACATATGTTTTCTCTCAACTCTCCCATTTTTTTGGTGCAAATAAGGACATGAATGCCTAAACATAACTCCATTCTGCTATAATAACCAATAAAAGTCTCATATTCTTCCCCAATCGGTTTGTACACATTTTAGCTTATATCCTAACTATTTTTCTACAAAGCAATGGAACTACACAAACGTTGGATAAGCCTCAAATTTAAGTTTCAATGGGTAAATCCAAGTAGATCTACTAAAATCATCCACAAAGATGATATAATATTTGAAACCTTTCCTAGAATTAACTGGAGCTAGACCCCACAGATCTGAATACACTAGTTCTAAAGGGACTTTGGCCCTAGAAGTAGAAGCAAGAAATTGACATTGTTGCAGTTTACCATATTGACATGCTTCACAAAATAAATTTTTATTTCCACTCAAGGAATGTTTTACATTCATCTTGTTCAAAACAACATTGAGAGTTCTAACATTGTTCTAATCTTGCATGCCATAGCATGAACAAATCTGCACTTGCAGTTTTATTTAAATTCCTAGAAAAGTGACAATCAATAGAAGAACTAGTAGTAGCAACTTTCTGTGGCAAGAGAAGCAGAAGTTTCTGATGATAATAGTGTAGTAGAGGGACAAGAGATAGAACCCAAGGGTGAGCTACCAGTATGTGTGAATTCTAGCTGATATAGTCCATCCTTGACTGTGCCTTGAAGTAGAACATCTCTACTGTGTTTGTCCTTTACCAAGCAATGGTCAGAATGAAACTCCACAATTACACTATTGTCCTTAGTAATTTGTGAAATACTAAGCAAATTCTTTGCAATTCTAGGAACACGTAATACATCCCTAAGATGAATAAGTCTATTTGCATCATAAGAATGTACTAGCATCATACCTAAATGAGTGATGGGAATGGATTCCCCATTACCAACCTGCACTTTCGAGTCTCTTGGATTAGCAAAGATTTGAGCACCAGATTTGATCCATCAGCTATCATATGATTTGAGGCCCCAGAGTCCATCTACCAAGATTGATCCTCAAGAGTCTGAGGTGTGGCAACAACTTAGTAAGAGGCTACTGATGCAGGAGATGACTTATTGGTAGCTCTTGATAAGTGAACAGCAGAAGAATCAACAATGGGATTGTGTTGATAACCAGGACCAGAATGACGTTGATGATTTACTGGAGAAGGAAAATGTACACTTACACTTGAGTAATAGGGGTATTTTGGTGTTGCAGGAACAAAGTAATCATAGAAACCAGCGAGGGAATTATTTAAAACAGGGAAATTGGAACTGTTTGGTGTATGGCTGGAAAAGTTACTATGACTTGGTGTATAATGATTAGCAACAAGGCCTGAGCATATTCAACAGGTCCTTTAGCTAAGGTATTTGAAGAGGGAGCCGTGAATTATAGGCATTGGGCTATGTTTGAGGATTATAGGAAGAGGGAACAAAACCCTAATATTCTTGATCAAATCTATGGTAACATTGTATAGCTGAGTGTCCTAGTTTACCACACACTTGGCAAACTAACCTTGGCTTAAAATAACCCTAACCTCTACCTTTACCCTTAACCATATTGTTATTGAACTGAAATGCTCCAGCATTGAAGGGCTGTGTATTAGGCAGGTAACCAGGTCCACTAAAGGTTGCTCCATGGTAGCTATTGTTTTTAAAATCAACATACCAGCTGTAGAATGAACAATACCAGGAGTAGGGACACCAATGTTGGGGTTATTATGATAAGTATAGCTAAGAGCAAGAGCTGGAAAATTTCGTACTGGCATTTTGAGACCAGGTGAACCATTGAGCAAATGCCATGCAGATGAGTTAACATTCTCATTTTTTAGGCAAAAAGAGTAGAATTAAAGTGCTCGTGGAAATGTGACATGGCATTGTCCTGTGGTTCTAACCTCATTTCATGCTGCTTCTTGAATGCTTGCATTACTACTATTGTAAGTTAGATTTGTTACCACTGCATCATATTCTGGTCTTAAATCTTCCAGAATATACAACAGCAATTCCTCATCTCCAAGATTAACACCACTAGCCACTAACTCATCTCCTAGCTCTTTCATCTTTAGCACATACTCATTAACACTCATATCACCTTTCTTAGTGGTTTGTAACAGATTTCTAAGATGTAAGGTTCTGGCTTTACAATAGGATTGAAAATGTAACTCCAAGGTGTTCCAAATTTCAAATGAACTGGTACACTTAGCAACATGCATAAACATAGATTCAGAAATTGAAGACAAAAGCCAACTTACTAAAAATTGATCTGTCTTTTTCCAATTAAAATCCTTAGGGTTTGGTTCTTTTACTAATTCCTTAGATTCAACAGATTTTCCAACTCGAAATATAGGTGGATAGATATTCTCAACGGTAATGAAATCATCAAGTTCATGAGATGTTAAAGCTAGAAAAATCCAAGATCGCCAGTGACTGTAGTTCCTCTCCACAAGCTTCACCGAAATTGTAGGAAGTGTTGCATGCATAGTTGAATTGTTTGCATTTGCACATCTAGCTTGTTCCATTTCTACTTTTGAAGTAACACTGGAAGATCTAAGATTCAATTGAGCCATTGACACTTGCCTATAGTTTTGATACCAAGTAGATTTTAGTACGGAATTGAAAATAAAACACAAAACAGAAAAGTATTTGAGAGGGAAGAAGCTTGAGCTGAAGAAAAGAGTGAGTTTTATTAACTAAGTAACTAACTTACAAAACAGAACAATCTGTTCTTATATAGCAGCTACAAAGTCTACAAAACGCCACCGTTCTAATCACAACTTTTAAACTTTACAAAATAGACCCTACTAATACTAACACTATTTGTAATCTTTACAAAAACAACTTTCTCATTCACTCTTATACTTAATAGACTCAGTACAAACAATTCAATTCAATTGAATACAATTTTTTCCCTCTCAAAGATTGGGTTTTAACCTATTAGTGATTTTACCTTAATTTTAAATGATAAAAGAAAATAGTTTCCTACTTGAAGAAATATTCCCTTACGAAGAATGTAAAAAAAGGAAAAAAGCAAGATTAGAAAATAAAATTTGAAGGGTTTCAAGATTCGAGAAAACAAAAACAGAGGAATCAAACAAAAATTCTTAGCTGAATTGAATGAATGAATGAGTTACAGAATTGGCAACAAATTTATATGCAGCCATTATATCAAAATGCAGTGTTTTGATGTAGTTTTGAATCTTTACAGAGAACAACCCATGATTAGTTTCTATTTATTACAAAAGACACCCCAATTATACTAATATTCTCCCTTAAGCAAAACCATATAGTAGACTAATCTATACTTCTATATTGATATTCACCCTTAAGCTGAACATCATTAACAATGCTTCTATACCAATATGCACCCTTAAACTGAACATTGATATGCTTCAACTCTGCAGTTCAACCAAGAGATACACTAGCAGATAACAGCAATGTCTCCGACTCTGTAGTTCATCCGAGATTCAACTTTGTAGTTCAACCAAGAGAAACACTAGCAGATAACAACAATATCTCCAACTCTGCAATTCATCCGAGAGATACACTAGCAGATATAAGTAGTATCAAGTAACATGCTGGACTATTCAGCCCCAGTATTTGCACTATTATAAGTAGATTATGTTCCTCCCTGATTGAATAAGTAACAATTATTATGGATTTCAGCGCTAGGATTACTCTGTAATTCAAAAGTGACTTGCAACTCAAATCCGCTGCCAGACAGAGCCTTAGTTAGGATATCAGCAATTTGATAATCTGTACTCACATATTGAACAGCTAATCTCTTCTCAATAGCCAACTCCTTCACATAATGGACATCAATTTCTATGTGCTTTGTTCTTCACACATGGTTAGATGAAAATGCTCCAACACTTATGTTATCACACCATAGGATCGGAGTTTTGTTGATGCCAATGCCAAGTTCTTGAAACAAATGTTGAATCCAAACCAATTCAATAGCTGCTTGACTAAAGGCTTGGTATTCAGCTTCTGTGAAGGACAAAGAGACCACTTTCTACTTTCTAGAACTTTACTGCACTAAGTTTCCTCCAAGAAAGATACTACATCCATTGGTAGAACGCTTGTCACTAACATCACTTGCCCAATCGACATCTAAATATCCTTCAAGTATGAAGTATTTATTTCTCTTGAATAAAATTCCATGCTGCAGTGTGCCCTTAATGTGCCGAAGTACTCTTTTTCCAATGTGCAGTTGGAGGAGCTTGAAGAAATTGGCTCAACCGATTGACAGAGAAAGCCAAATCAGGTCTAGAGAATGGGAGATACTATAAGCTCCCAACCACACTTCTGTAGAGTGATGGCTCTTCAAAGAATGTATAATCTTCTTTGCCCTAATTTAACATTTACAGCCATTGGTGTATTACAAGGTTTACATTCACTCATACCAACTCGAGTTAGTAAGTCTTGAGCATATTTGGACTGAGTGAGTAATAAGGCTTAGTCATTTTATTGGACGTCAAAGCCTATGAAGTATTGCAAAGACCCGAGATGCTTAAGAACAAAAGCCTTGTTTAAATCTTCAATGATTTCAGTTGTAAGAGTGGGATCAGTTCCTATGATGAGTAAATCATCCACATAAACTAGTAAGTAGATAACTTGACTACCTTGTTTGAAAAAGAAAAGACTAGTGTCTAAGACAGAGTTGGTGAATCCCCATGTAACTAAGGCTATTTTTAATTTCTCAAACCAAGCTCTAGGAGCTTGCTTTAGGCCATACAAAGCCTTGTTAGGCTTGCAAACATGTTTAGGATAGGCTGAATCATGAAACCTCTTAGGTTGCATCATGAAAATTGTTTCAGTGAGCTCACCATTTAGGAATGCGCTATTAATGTCAATTTGATGTATTTCCCACTGATAGTGAATAGCCAATGAAAGCATTATACTAATGGTGGTAGCCTTAACAACAGGGGAGAATGTATCAAGATAATCAAGGCCTGGAGTTTGCTGAAACCCTTTGGCGACCAGCCTTGCTTTATACTTCTGTAGTGTCCCATTAGCTTTAAGTTTGGTTTTAAAAACCTATTTGTAGTCGATTATGTTCATGTTTGGTGAATAGGGAACTAGTTCCTAGGTTTTGTTTTACAAGAGAACTTGAAATTCATCATCCATAGCTACTCTCCACTCAGGTATTTTCAAGGCTTCTGAAGGAGTCTTTGGTTTAGACAAAATTTGACAAGTAGAAAGTAAAGCATAGGTTGCATTCTGCTTCTAATTTAGTACACCAGATTTTGCAGTATTCTGCTCCTGATTCAGTACACCAGATTTTGTAGTATGATGATGATGTTGACGCTTAGAGAGAGTTATCATAGGATGACAATCAGTGACAGAGGGCATTTGCTTAGGTTTAGTAATAGGCAAGACAACATTTATCTTAATACTTGGTGATGTGTTATCCTAGGAAGAGAAACCTAAAGAGTCAATAGCAGATGTAGACTATAATCCTAAGCCTGATATGGCAGTATTGGAGAAAGGATTTGAGAAAATTGGAATTGAAGGTTTTGTAAGAGGTAAAACAACGTGGAGAGGCTAAAGAGTTGGACTTTGAATCTGAGTTTGGTATAACAGTAGTGCAATGAGAATTGGTATGGATAGAAGTACCAATATGGATACAAGGTTAGGTGTCTGAATTATGTGTATTTCGATGAGGGTAATTCTGTAGGTTAGAAAAATTCCTTACAGAAGGAAATTCTGTAGGTTCCTGCCCAGACCTTGTATCAAGTGATCTAGGAATAGCAGTAGCAGAAGAATTAAGACGGGAGCCACATCTAAACTAACTGGTATACTATCAGCTAATAAATCATTATGTAGACAATAAGTTAGATCCCAAGTAGAGGAAAAAGTACCTGACTGAAGATCTGATTTTAGGCTTGCATGATCAACATCTCTAAACATGTGACACTTAAACCCATTCTTAAAAGGGAATACAAACTCATTGAACTTGGCTTGCTTAACAATGTAGAGTTTGCCCAAAGGAGATAGACACTTATAACCTTTGTGTGAAGAACTATAACCAAGAAATACACATGCTTAAATATGGTAAGAGAACTTATGTCTTTGATAAGGTCGAATGAATGGATAACAACAACAACCCAAGACCTTAAACTCGTTATAGGCAGGTTCTTGTTGAAATAGTTTCTGAAATGGTGAAAGATCTTCAATAGAAGAAGAAGGTAGTCTGTTAATAGTATAGACTGCTACACAAAAGGCTTGCCACCAAAGACAAAGTGGCATGGCAGCATGAGCCAGGAGGATTAAACCAAACTCAGTAATAATTCTATGTTTGCGCTCCACTCTTCCATTTTTCTAATGAAGGTAGGGGCAAGGATGTCTAAAAACAATCCCCTGGTCTTGCAGATAACTAGTAAAAGACCTAAATTCTCCAACCCAATCAGTTTGCAAACCTTTCAGTTTGACATCAAATTGTCTCTCAACCATAGTATGAAAATGCTTAAAAATAGAAAATGCTTTAGATTTCAGTTTTAATTGATAAATCCACATATACCTACTAAAGCCATCTACAAACATCATGCAGTACTCAAATCTTTCGAATGAACAGATGGGTGTAGGACCCTATAAATCAAAATATACCAACTCAAGAGGACCCTTAGCATGAGATGATGATAAAGGGAATGATGCTTGCTGCATTTTGCCAAATTGGTAGGCTTCACAAAAAGCCATTTTATTTCTAAATGATCTAGCTACATGTATTTTATTCATTACAATTTTGAGATTCTTCTTATGTGGATGACCC